GCCTTCGTTCGGGAGACGCCGGCTGCTTCTTCAGTATATGACCAGCAGGTGAGCGGTTCGATTGAGTTTCAAACGCAGGTGAGCAAATCACACCACAGGTGGTTGGCCAATGGTGGCGGAACTCCTGCTGATGCGGAGAAAGCTGCTAAGAAATTCTGGGGAACAGTTTTGGTCCAGATTATGATTGAGGCGGACCTTCCTATCTGTCACTTGAAGGCGGACGCGGAGGAGCAGAGGGCGGCGTATCTCTCAGTCTTAGGGCATTGGGGCCACGTAGGTCCAAGAAATCGGGCCAGAACCTGGAAGAAGGCCCGGGAATGGATGCTCAGGGTTAAGAACCGTCCTTTTCCTAAGGATCCTACAGATGTGGTCGATTACCTGACTTTCTTGGAGCAGGATATTGGTACGAAATCCTGCATTGGTGAGTTCATGGCTGCCCTTTCAGTCCTGGAAGATGCAGACCAGGTTCCCACGAATCAGCAGCTTTGCAAGGATCGATTGGTGGTCGCTTCTTCACAGAGTTTTGGTGCTGAGGTTTTGGAGGGCAAAACGGCCAAGGCCCAGGCACCACCTTTGTCGGTGGCAATGCTGCTATCTTTGGAAATGTATGTGGTTTCTAGTTCGAATCCGAAATATGCCCGCTTCCTGGCATGGGCCTGCTTGATTGCAGTCTGGGCGTGCATGCGCGTTTCTGACCTGCAGGGGGTGGACGTGTCGAGACTTCAGCTCTTTTGCAGCGGGCTCAAAGGTTTCTTGGTCCGTACAAAGACGACGGGCAATGACAAGAAGGTGCTTGAGGTTCCGTTTTTCATTCGGAGGGATGCCAACTTGTCTGGACATGATTGGCTTTCGAAGGGGTATGATCTCCTACAATCTTTTGGGCAACTGGGGACATGCTATCTGGCGTGGCAAGCCTCGGACGACATGCAGGAACCTCACTATAAGTTCGCGCGACCTGAGGTGATTTCGAGTTATTTTCGCTTGATTTGGCAGAAGCTTCAGGTCCCTTTCAGGAAGGTTGGGGAGAACAAATGGAAGCTGGCGGGCGGCACATGCTTGGTGGGACATGCTTGCTTTCTGTTTTGGACTGGGCATTCCATGCGTCATGTCCTTCCTACAATCTCTGCTGTATTTGGTGAAAGCAAAGAGAGGAGAAATTATCTAGGCAGATGGCATGTTAATTCTCAACAAAGCTCTGACTATGTGCACACGTGCAGGCAAATTGTGCATGATGTGCAAGGGCTTGTGTGCGATAAGCTTTCAGGCGGTGCCCCAGGCTATGACGAGGAGGAACTTCTCATGCAGCTCGGGGACTGGCTCAAGACGAGGGGCGAAGATCCTGGGCCCATCTTGAAACCCCTTTGTATTATGCGCAAGGTTCAAGGATGCTGGGTCTTGAATCAGAAATGACCGCTTCTTGGCGACACTGGAACTGGACTCCTGCCCGAACCTCCTGAGGTGGTGCTTCGCAATCAGGACAGAGACGGAGGATCATCACCTTTTTGGGTCAGCGTCAGTCGGCGTAGTGGTCATCGTCGCCTTCATATTAGGGGCCAATGCTGGGTGGATCCTAGTAGCTGCCATTGCTTTGAGGAGCTGTGGGAAGTTGGCCCTCACACTGCGGATTCCTTTTGCAAGCTCTGCTGCCGGGATCGCCAGGTGGAAGCCTCTTCCAGTTCAGGTGATTCTTCCTCCGCTGATGTGGGGGAGGCAGATTAGCTCCCCCTGTTCGGCCCTAAGATGCGGCTTGGTTAAAGAAGTTGCTTGTGCGTTGTGGACATGCGCAATCAAATCTTGGATGTGCACCGCTGAGTGTTTGAGCATTACTCACATGTGTGCCGCATGGTGATGCATGGATGTGATCGGAATGCTTGCGTTTCTGACATTCACTTTCAGGCAATGTGAAACATGATCACCTGTCAGATCAAGCAATCTGTTGTCAGATTCAGGAGAGGTCAAGACCTCTGTTCAGTGTCAATTTGGACAATGTCAGGACATTTGCGGAGTGACTTTCAGCGAATTTTCAGATGGGGGAACTTTCAGTTGGGGGATCAACCCCGTATCAGTGCTTTCAGCGTTCCTTCTGTCAGTGACCTGGACAGCTCGTGCGCATAGGGATTCCTTTCCCGTTGTCAGGGCTGTTAGCATTCTTTCAGGCTTTCGCAATCATGGCCGTTACGCCCGAACAACAGCGGGAATATCTCCGCACCAATCTTGATTCTGACTTCTTGTGCTTGCTCGAAGAGCATTCAGTGGACCTTGCGCTGCAATACCAGGTGGGCCAACATTATAAAGGAATCAAGACGTTCGCCGTCTTCGCAGACGACCGTAGTGCAGTTCGCACGGCAATCACGGCCGATTTTAGCATCAGGCCTGACACAGCCGCTGACCGAGCTAGAATCGCCTGCTTGGTCACTGCGTGGGAAGCTGCGAAGTTGATCCGGGAAGAAGAAGCCTTGCAAGTTGAAGGCGGAGGCCAAAGTGCTTGGCATGCAGAAACCACTGGCATCGTCCGACCGGGCGGCAATGCGGACTGCTTTGGAGACAGTGAAAGGTTATCCCGTTTCGGAGTCCGAGGAACCAGCAGCTGAATACCTGGCCCACAAGCTGGAGCAGATCGAAAATGGGGAGCCAACTGGGTCATACCTGGATGAGGTGATCTCTCGCAAGGAGGCTGGGGCACTTCAGCTGCAGACCTCTTTGGACAATCAGGGTCGTCTCCGGATCACACGTCAGAAGCCAAAAGGCAAGTTACCCCAATCGACGGAGGAGCTCCGGGCCAAGATCCGCTTAGAAGCTGCAACTTGGATTACGCTCTCGGCTAAGTGCAAAGGACGTGTCTATCTTCGGGGCTTGGAGCTGAGCAGTTTCGATCGTTATCTGGAGTACTTGTTGGGGGACCGCTGCTACTCTATGCAGATATCTTCTGGCGTGCCATCCAGTACTTCATCGGGGCAGGATCGTCATACTTTGCCCGTACCTTGGGGTGTCCTTCTTCAGTATGAGTTCGAGATGAGGAAGTGGGCTGTCAAGGAGGCACATAAGAGAGGCGAGCCTTTGGGCGATTTGCTACATGAGGCCACTCGCAATACAGAGTTGAAAGAACTCCACTTCACATCTCAAGTGGCTCTGGCCAAGCGCTCCCCGCATGACGATCCACCTCCTCCTCCGAACAAGTGGCCTCGCAAGGGCGAGAAGGGCAACAAAGGCAGAGGCAAGGGCAATGGCAAGAATGGCACCAAAACCGATGGGCAGAACAAGGTCGGGGAGAACTGGTATGATCTGGTCTCGAAGACTCCGGATGGCCGGGAGCTCTGCTTTGCATACAACATTAAGCGTGGTTGCCAGGTCAAGGGATGCAAGCGTGTCCACGCCTGCCGTGTCAAGGGCTGTCAGGGAAACCATCCGGCCTACCAGCACGGCGCACAGGGCGGTGCCTGACATTCTGACGCAACACCGGTTTCACTTTCGAATTCAACGGATGGCCGTCGCCCCACCTTGCGAGTGCTGTGTTTGTTTGCTGGCGAACCACGTAAAGCTGATGTACGGCACTATCTTCAGGACTTCTGCGATCTGGCACAGGTGGTTCTCGAGATTTCGGAAGTAGACATCTGCCGAGATCCCAGCATGGACCTCTTGGATGAGACCACCGCGAAGCGGGCTCTGCAACAAATCCGTGATGGATCTTGGGATGTTGTCATTGTGACTCCTCCATGCAACACTTTTTCTAGGGTCCGGTTCGTGCAACCTGGACCGAAGCCTGTTAGATCACGACTTTACCCTTTGGGTTTCCCTTGGTTATCTGATAATTTGTTAGAATTGGCCAGGCAAGGAAACCAGTTCGTCGATTTCTCTTTTCAGGTGTGCTTTGCCACTTTGGACGTGCGCGCCGATTTCTTGCTCGAACACCCGGAGGACCTTGGACGACCAGATCCGGCCACACACCTGCGTCCATTTGGCAACTGGAGGATGCTCGTCGTCTTTTCTCACATGAACGGGTCTTTACATTCGCGGTCTATCAGTATGGTTTCCTGGCTAAGTCACCCAAA